TGATTTTTATATGTTTTTAAAAAAAATTAATTTTTGGCATCCATATTATTGAGAAAGGTTAAGGTCCATTTTTTGTGATTAATCTAATTGTGCTCTCACTACATTGTGTGATTCGTTGTGTGTGCTATGTTCATTTTGTGATACGTTGCGTGTGCTATGTTCATTTTGTGATATGTTGTGTGTGCTGTGTTCATTTTGTGATACGTTGTGTGTGCTGTGTTCATTTTGTGATACGTTGTGTGTGATGTGTTCATTTTGTGATACGTTTTGTGTTTGTTCATTTTGTGATACGTTCTGTGTGCTGTGTTCATTTTGTGATGCGTTGTGTGTGCTGTGTTCATTTTGTGATACGTTGTGTGTGCTGTGTTCATTTTGTGATACGTTGTGTGTGATGTGTTCATTTTGTGATACGTTTTGTGTTTGTTCATTTTGTGATACGTTCTGTGTGCTGTGTTCATTTTGTGATGCGTTGTGTGTGCTGTGTTCATTTTGTGATACGTTGTGTGTGCTGTGTTCATTTTGTGATACGTTCTGTGTTTGTTCATTTTGTGATACATTCTGTGTGCTATGTTCATTTTGTGATATGTTGTGTGTGCTGTATTCATTTTGTGATATGTTCTGTGTGCTGTGTTCATTTTGTGATACGTTGTTTGTGCTGTGTTCATTTTGTGATACATTGCGTGTGCTATGTTCATTTTGTATATGTTGTGTGTGCTGTGTTCATTTTGTGATACGTTCTGTGTGCTATGTTCATTTTGTGATATGTTGTGTGTGCTGTGTTCATTTTGTGATATGTTCTGTGTGCTGTGTTCATTTTGTGATACGTTGTGTGTGCTGTGTTCATTTTGTGATACATTGCGTGTGCTATGTTCATTTTGTGATATGTTGTGTGTGCTGTGTTCATTTTGTGATACGTTCTGTGTGCTATGTTCATTTTTGATATGTTGTGTGTGCTGTGTTCAGTAGGTAATTAGTTCAGGGATGCCGTTTGTCCGTTATTTTGAGCATTGCCCGTCAAGAACTTTGTTTTTTTTATTGAACTGATATGATGTTGTTTTGTTGCATTTATATAAATTGCTTCGTCGCATGCAAAATCTAGTCTCGAAAAAACTTTCTGTTACTTTGCCTAAAGTCCAGTGGCATCCCTGTTACTTGTATGTCCTGTGTTCGTTTTGTGACAAGTTGTGTGTGCTGTGTTCAGTACGTAATTAGTTGTGTGCTGTCAATTCCAGGGTCCCATGGCACGCACGTGGCGTGTATTGCTGCGGGCAACTTCCCCGAAAACCCCGAGTTGAACGGCATTGCCCCAGGAGCGCAAGTCGTCGGCCTAAAGATTGGAGACACCAGACTGGGATCTATGGAGACGGGAACAGCTTTAGTGCGAGCGGTGAGAAATTTCTGTATTTTTTTTTAGTTTGTGTGAGAGGTTTTTGTGTTTTTTGGGGGTTTTTTTTAACCTTCTGTAGTCAGCATCAATATTCCATCATCTCTTTAACCCTCGTCCTGCGGGGGCCGCGTTTATGTCGCCCGATAAGCCTATTTCGGCACTTCGCCTGCGTTCTTTTCCCGAGTCAGTCTAGCCCCTGGCTCAGCGTACGCGCGCCGAACATCATCTCACGTGAATTTCGGGTCCCGAGTCAGATCCCCATTCACGCAGGTCAAGTGTGTGTGGGTCAATCTGCTTGAGTTTATGTACGTTTGTGGCCTTCTTCTAGAACCGCCAGCTTTGGTTCGTAATCGAGGCAAATGTCTCATTCAAAACACGCCAAGTTGGTAGCTCTAGATGTTCGTCCTATGATATTACAGAAGAAATTGACCCACTTAGACATGAGGAGCTCGAAAGGATAGTCAGGAAACAAGACTTCCATTTTTCTATACAAAACCTTTCAAGTGAGCTGGATTTTGCATGAATTGATACTACATGATAAAAAAGAAGCTTGTTTGATAGTTTTGAATACCATTGTGCAGGTACAAAGAACAAATTGAGTGCTAAACATTCGGAAATTGACCTATATTATCCCGTTTTGAACCTCAGGTCATTCATAACAACAAGAGCGTCTAGAAAGGTTATTCGAATGGGTATAAATACTCGTAATGTCTTATCAGCTTGTGAGAGGGGGTTATTCATGTGTTCGTAACACTTTATAAATAGAAAGCTATGAAAGATAGAGCGTTATTTTCATCATCGATTGACACACTCCCACGGTATTCATGGCGAAAACACACTTTTCCCGGCGCTCGCGCTGTACACCAACAGTACACTCTGAGTGACCCCGGCGGCTTGCCCAGAACATCCGACGTAATCGGTTGCTGATAAGATTCGCACCTCAGCACAGACGCAGGACAAGAGTTAAGAACACTACTGGAGGCTATGTTCATGTCTTCAGCATGCCTCACATTTGACATTGACAGTGTTTACTTGGGAAAGCCAAAGCTTATGGTTTTCCTTGCAGGTTGAAAGTTGGGGCTATGTCGAGCCAAAAGATGGTGTACAGATTGTAAGCATAGAGGAGAGGCAGTTGGTGGTTGGCGGGTGCTCTGGTGTGGTTTGCTTCTTCTTTCCTATTGAACATATATCGTCCTTTTTCTTCAAATGGTCTTGTGAAAGAATTTTGTCATTATTTTTGGAATTCTCCTTGTCCTCAGATGAAGTACATGATGGACAACAACGTGGACTTGATCAACTACAGCTACGGCGAGGCTTCCCACGTCTGCAACGTCGGGTACGACTGTCATGATGTTGATGAGATGATTCTCTTTTCTCCAATAACGATAGCGTTACTTATTACCTATAGTACAGGGCTTGCCCAATATGAAATCATTTTATTTTATTTATTTTTTTTTTTTTTTAAGCGGTTCATTTCCTCAACCCTATTATTAGTTTGCTTGTGGTGTAGGATGATTCCTAAAAGTTGCTCACACCATAATCCCGTGAGCAGTGTACTACTGCTTGTTTGAACCTAGTGCGGGATGGTGTGTGCATAAAAGTTGCTGAAGGAAGGCGTATGGGGAAGTTGTCCTGTTGTTTAGAGTACAAGGTGACCTTGACCTGAGTGTATTACAAAAGACGAGATTGAATGATAGAGCGTTTTCCAACTTTTCTTGTTGTTTTACCGGTCGTCTGTTTGCTGTCTTCTTTTGATGACTTGCCTTGGAATTTGGGTGGCTGATAGTCAGAGGTGCTGCTTGGGTGGTTGGCGGGTGCTCTGGTGTGGTTGCTCTTTCTTTCCTATCCCACATCTATTGTCCTTATCTTTTCTTAGTTTGTTTTTTTGTGTTTGTTACTCTCTTGTAACACTTCTAATCTTCGGCACTTGTGCGACGTAATTGCGTTGCGAGTTCTGTAAAACGCTTACTAAAACTAAACTGAGGTGCTGTCTCGTTGAGCTATTTATGCTTGGCTGTAAGGAAATGTAAATTAACTACTAAGTTACCGGGGGCTCTCGAGGCCTAGAGGTTAAGGTGTTCGCCTCTCATTCAAAGGTCCCGGGTTCGAATCCGGGTAGCACCAAAAAATTTTCTTCTCTAAATTTGTCTCCTTTCACCTCCTTTCCTGCTCTCTAGCAATGTTCTGTTGTCTCATTACGTCTCCACTTTCTGCCCCCCACCCCTTCACCTCCTTTGCCCCCTCCTCTGGGCTCCTGATTCTTTCTGCAGCCTTTCTACTGCTACTCATTGGCTTCTTCTTACTGCTGTCTTTCAGCCACACCCCTGATCTTCTGGTAGGAAAGATCTACACCTAGCTTTCTCGGACAAGGGCGAAAAATCTCGGAGGTCCCGTGTGCAAGTTGTGCACGTTAAAGATCCCTGGTGGTCTAAAATCGATAAGAGTAGGCTTCGGCCGTCACCCGGGCAAAATTCAAAATTCCCTACCAACTGAAAAAGTTTAGTGTGTCCAGCGCGCTCATATGACCTTATGCAGTTGCGAGCGCCGTAAAACACTTACAAAAACAAAAACAAACTCAGTTAACCTAGTTTCATGGAAGTAGAAAAAATGAATTTCATTCTTTTAGGTTATATGGTCGCTTTTAAGCGCAAGGGGGCTATCCCGAAAAATGCTGTTTTGAGAAAATCGAGGGTAGAGTTTTTGGACCCTTGTTCAGTGTCTTTTAAATACAAGGAGAGTTTTCTCTATAACCAAACAAATATACACACCAATGAAACCAAACTTCTCCTATAGGTCGGGCAATGTCCACTTTTGGTGTAGGTCAAGATTTCTGGAAGCCTTCAAAATCTGGGTTAGCCCGCTTGTCCTTAAAAAAAGACCATATCTCTAAGGATTAAAAAGCACGCTTTTTACTGACCCTCAAAGGTTTTCTTTATGGATTAAATTTATGAAGGTTTGAATCAAAATTTCATGGGTTAAACTTCCAGCTATGCTATTTCCTTTGCCATGCATGTATTTGTTGGCAAATAGATAACCTTCATTTTTTTTCCCCCCACGAACCTTCATTTTCCGTTTGCTTTTTCTATCTCCATTTATCCTGTGTTTGATCAGACGTGTGATTGAGCTCATCAATGAAGTGGTCAACGAGAAAGGAACAATCTTCGTGTCCAGCGCAGGAAACAACGGGCCGGCTCTGTCTACTGTGGGTACACCCGGTGGCACTACTTCTTCTGTGATAGGTGAGGGGAAGTTTTGGATTGGGGGGGAGGGTCTTGTGGTCTAGAAGTAGGGTGTTCGCCCCTCTTTCAATAGGTCCTGGGTCGGAAACCTGACAGTGAAGAAATATTTCCTGCTCTAAAATTTTCTCCTTCTTTCACCTCTCATTTGTTCCATTTTTTACAGTTGTCTATTTAACTAATGATGGTGGTTTTCACCCGTAGAATATATTGTGATAGAGGAGAATTTGTTTAAAAAAAAAATAGTTTTTGGGATACTTTGAGCAACTAAGGTCATTGTTACCTGAAAAATACTGCCTGGAAGGTTATTTATAGGTGTGGCTGTGGGTATTTGTGAATGCAAGCATATTATTGTGTGTGTACGTGTACAAATGTGTGTGGAAGAGAAATTAGAATGTGTGTGTATAGCTATGGGCATGTATGTGTATGCGTGTGTGTGTGTGTATATTTGTGAATGCAAGCATATTATTGTGTGTACGTGTACAAATGTGTGTGGAAGAGAGATTAGAATGTGTGTGTATAGCTATGGGCACGTATGTGTGTGTGTGTATGCGTGTGTGTGTGTGTGTGTGTGTGTGTGTGTGTGTGTTTTGAAACACCAAATTGCAGCATCCAGACAATAAACTTTTATCTACCTGTCGTATCATCAGGTGGTTGGCGGGTGCTCTGGTGTGGTTTGCTTCTTCTTTCCTATCAAACATCTATTGTCCTTATCTCCACTTATTCTTTTTTGTGTTTGTTAGTCTCTTGTAACACCTCTAATCTTCTGGCGCTCATAGGACCGTATGCAGTTGCGAGCGCTGTAAAACCTCTACTAAAACAGAACATCGTAGACATACTGTCTGCTCAACATTAGACTCCGCCATACACTGTTGTGATTAGTGACATATGATAGTCTTATCCTGAGCAGTCAATATGTTTATATTATTTGATCGCTGGTGGCGTCGGTGGCCTAG